TATATATACACACACACATACATACATATATATATATATAAATGTGTGTGTGTGTGAGTGTGTATAATATATATATATATATATATATGCAACTACCAGCTACAGCACCATCCTAATGAACGTTAACTGCAACCGACCAGAACCAGACAATCGTATAGAAGCTATGAACAGGAACTCACTCTCGTTACGGGCTCCGGTCTTCCATTACCGGAATCGAAATTACTGACCACATAGCATATGTACAGGACTGTACTGCCGCATCCAACGGTGAGTAGCTTATTGGTGTACCGAGAGAAGTTGCTAACTCAGTGCACACACAAGAGATACGGGTTACAAGAGTACTGACCAGCTCGTCAATACAAGTGCCCTCGTGGTACGAGTATCTAAGCTAGTCGTCCAGAAGGTACTGATCAATATTCTGACCAGGGTCAATTATTTGGCCTTTACACTCAAACAAAATCGTTTTAGGTGGCCTATCAACACACAACCGAGAACAAGCTTATCGATATGTCATCCTAGGACACATAGGGGACTTGGAATGGACCGGCGAACTCAAGCAATTACGTGTTAAGAAAGGATGCATATTTGCTGCTCTCGGTTTGCAATTTTGACAGCAAGTATATTTTGTGCACCTGGACATGAGAATTACAAATATAATCGATATGCTCATACTTCATTCGAATTGACATATGAAGAAAAGAAAAGAGTACCAGGAATTAGCTAAACAACTCAAGCGTGAAGGAAAGCAGGTATGTAATACTGTTGTCAAACGAAACATGAAAGATCGACAAGACCGTCATTACATTCATTCATTACAATTTGTATACAAACGCTTTTACGGATTTAATTTCTCCAGGTACACCCTGGGCAGTAGAAAACACTATAACCCACCTCAATAAGGTAAAACCTTATACCGTGACTATCGTGAGCAATGCTGTACATGCGAATTGGGTCCATTGCCGGGCAAACTTCAAGTCGCATAGTTCAACAGTCCAAACCTGCTCAGTCCAGCTGGTACGCTCTCGGGTAATTATATATTGTGAGAACTGTGGCTTGCATGTGTCTGAAGGTATCCCTTGCGGGCATACTGCTAAGTGTTTTGTGCACATGGCTAATTATCTAACGTGAACAATATCGCGAGTGAGTAAAACCTGTACGGATTGTTTTGGGTGGAAGCTTATATCTTGCAAACCAGGTTCGCGGGACAATCGATGTCCTTTGACTTTTTGAATATGGAGCAGCATCCGATTCTTTCCTGTCCTATTTACAGTATAAACCGAGACCGGCGGGCCGCCCGAAAAAAAAAGTGGACGATAAGTCATCTCGTAAGTAAGCAATTATATTTTTTAAAGAAAAATTACTGTGCTCTTTCAAAGACCAATTTGTAAAACACCTTTTCCAATACGATTGTATCAGGGATAATGTACTTAGGAAGACCTTATGTCTTTTGTGCAACTATTTATGGCTTTCTCGCTTAAATTTTCTTTTACTCTGTTAAAGCGGCAATTGCGTATCAATTAACGAACTCAAAACTAATAGAAGATCACGAGAGTTCAAGTTAAAAAACATTATATGTGATTGCTATGATGATTTTTTTTTGCTTGTGATAAATTGTGTATTTGATTCCAGGTACTGTGAACTTCCTGTTCAAATGCACAGGTATGGAATTTAAAAAAAAAGCCAACGAAGATGCGCTCAGCGGACCAAAATAGTGACACCGTTAATGATTCGCCACTACGGAAGATACCAACGACTGGTGTGCCACCTTCATCAACGTCATCTGTCACGTATGTCTATTCGGTTCCTTTAGAATATGAAATCGATACTGATAACGAAATTGGTTTTTTATTAAAATTATCGTGACTTCAACAAAGATCCGTTCACAGGGAAAAGGCAAGACTGTCGCATCACTATGTGTATCGAAAAACTGCTGCAGTAATGGGAAAAAGCGATTGATTTGGGAGAATATCAAAAAGGACCTTCTCTACATCAATTATCAAGTAATATAAAAAAGAGAGTAAATTTTTACTCTTTATGGTGTCGCCTAATTCTGTCGGATGTATGGGATTAAACCATTTCAGTAGCCGCATTGAATTGATATATTACATTTTCAACATGTACCTCTCACAAAATAAAGTGATACAAAGTCTGACTTTCATAGTTTTATTCGCCCTGTCACATCACAGTATCGTTACATCCGTCCCAGACGCTGATGACAATCCGACACGTATACAGTCGGAAATCTTGCCAGTGAGATGTGATACGGAACCAGTTAAGTACAATATTTTTCAGGCTGTCTATCTCTGATGATTTAGTTAACGTAGAGACTATATTTGAGGTAACATATAAACTATATTCAAATCCACGGCCATAAACTTGTGCTTGCTGACGAAATCGGTACATTACTTGGAGACAGGCACTTCTTCTATCAATGCAGACAAGGAATGCGCATCCAGTGAAATGAGAACAACAGCTAGCAACAGCAACGACAATGGCTACGCATCAATATATGCTTGTTTTACATATTTGATAATGATTGTCATTTCTCTATAAGATAAAGCTCGGTAAAGTTTTCACTGATTCCCAATTTCCCAACCTACAATTAGCAGTGTACTGCCAGAGAAACTAGAACATCGAACATATCAGGCCGAAATCCATGCATCGGTTGCAGTAATGAGAAAAAATCATACTGCAAACCGATACGCACGCCTAGCAGCCAATTGAAATAAGACGAATGGCAAGTCTAAAGTGTTAATGGCTAGCAAAAATACGATGTGTCGATCTACGTTGTTGAGAATGAGAATGCCACATTTTACAATACGCAGTGGAAACAGTGAACATGTAGAAAAGAAGCGAAATGAGACGAGCAAAATAGATATCATTGTAGCGATAGGTACTACGGCAGAGTCGAAGTCATTTTATATCGGCGACTGGATCTTGCAAGAAAACATTGTGGACAAAGTACCGTAGACGGAGATGTAGGACGGGACCAGAGGACCGGACCGACAAGAGGTATTTAGGATCGGATTAGCG